ATGAATAAATAAGGAGTAGATATGTAGATAAGTTTTAAGCAAATTTGAATTGTAGAAAAGTAGATAGATTTTAAACAGATTTGAATTAGGTTTTAACTTATAAAGTATGCCAATATTTTTAGAAATTTTTATTTCGAATAAATTTAAGTGATTTAAACATGGGACATTTTTGTCAAGAAGAACACCTAGAAACTTCATTGAGTGTTCTTTTTTTTCTCTTTAACATTTGGAAACTTTAGAGGAATTTCGTTTCTTTGATGAAGGCGATGAAAAAAATATACTTAGTTTTAGTTAAGTTTAATGACAACTTATTTGTATTAAACTATTCAATTACTTTTAACAGTTCTTTGTTGACTGTTTTAAATAGCAAACAAATTAGAGTCTAAAATATTCAAAGCCTTGCTTAAGTCGTTAATTTATATTAAAAACAAAAGCGGTCCTAAAATGGATTCTTGAGGAACTCCACAAGTGATTCTCTTATTTTCAACATTAACGACATCATAAGAAACATACTGCTTTTTATAAAAAAATAGTTTTTAAACCAAACTACATTTGCATTCTTAACTCTGTAATTTACTAGTTTTTATATTAAAATATGGTGGTCAACTGTGTCAAAGGCTTTGCTAAGGTCTGTAAAAATACCTAATGTATACTCTTTTTTATCAAAGACTCGAAAAATATCATGAGCAAATTTAAGAATAGCATTTGAATATCAGTTGAATGACATTTTTTGAACCCAAATTGTTTGTTATATAAAATATTATTAGTTTCTAGAAAAAATAATAGTTTATCATACATTATTCGTTCCAGTATTTTAGAGAAGCGAAAAATAATGGAGACAGGTCTAAAAGTAGAGACATTAGAAGAATCGCCCGATTAAAAAACTGGTATAACTCTTGCAGTTTAAATATTTTCTGGAAATATTCCTTGTTTTAAAGAAAGATTAAAAATATGCAACAGTGGTGTCATTAAATAATGCTAAGATTTTATTACAATATTACTGCTTATTTCATCAACTCCTAATCCTTTCTTTAGTTTTAACGTTTGAAAACTCGTTTTTAGTTAGTTTTTTTGTTAATCATTATTGTATTGTTAAAAGTTACATATGACTCTACGCAAAATTTACCAGGTTTTAGTTTTAATGCTAAATTTGAAACAAGCAAAAACTTCATTGCTTTTACATTTTTGATTCATTATGTACATTAACGCCATTAAAGTTTATTATTTTTGAAAGACAAGTAGTTGATAACTTTTTTTTACCAATTAAATCAATAGTGACTTCCAGGTTTTCTGAGTGTCGCCTTTGAATTTTATAAAATTCAAAGGCGAAACTATTTTAATTACTATAGTAATTGATTTGAATAATGCATTTTCTTTGAACGACTTATAACTAGGTCAAAAATACCTCTATACTTTTTATACTTGGATTCATTATCAAATTTCAATCGTAACTAAATAGAAAGTGAGCTTCATCTCATACCGACTGTTTTTGTCAATTGATTTTTGAGATATATGCAAAACACTTCAGAGTATAGAAATTATATATCTCATTCAAACTTTAAAAGTTAAATCTAAAAAACTTGTTGACAAGGAAACATCAAAAAACAACTTACGATTGGTTAAATAGTTTAAATACATTATTTTTACATATAAAGTAGGTAATCTGTTATTTATAGAAAGATGATTAAGTTTTCTATTATAAAGATGATTAAAAATTTATATATTCTTTGAACATCGTAGTAGCATAAAATAAGTAAATATTTTTATAAATATCACTACAATTTTTATTTTTGACATGTTTCGTAATATAATAATCACATTTTTAGAAGATTTAGTTTTGCAATAAGACTCTGGAGTATTAAGCAAGTGAATCCTTTACTTAAATACCCATTTGTGCTTCCTACTCGTTAAATATTGACAGTGTACATGCTGCAGACTCTTGCGTCGCAGCAGTAGATTTTTTTTGATTTCTTCATGGTTTTTACAAATTCTTTTCTAGACTCTATTCATTGTTAGTTTTTATTTTTACAATACGCTGTCATTTGAGCTTAATGTAGAAATCAAGCTAAACGTACCAAAAAATCTCTGACAAACAATATGGTCAGCTTTGCTAATGTCTGCGCTGCCCCTACGAGGCGGATTCCAAAATTTTAAGGTGCTCAAGTTTTTAAAATAAAGCGGTCTAAATTGAAATGTTTATTCCTAAGAAAAAAAGTGTATTCATTTTAGAAGCTTTGTTCCAATAAAAAATTTTGGTTGGCAATAAGAGGATGAAAGTAAAGGCTAAATGAATAAAATCATTTGTTTCAAGTCAAATGTCATATTGCAAATGTTTTAGAGCACCCCCGGTACAAATTGGTTAGGAGAGCGGATATTCAACACACTAAAGCGTATTAAGTTCAGTAAATAAACAGGATAAAATGTCAGCAATTTCAATCCATCGTATTGAAAGTAAAATGTGAATTGAAAAAAGAAAATTGACATTGAAAGACTGCTCATTTTGCTAAAACCAAAAAAAAAAAAACCAAAGGCCATTGAAAAGTGTTTTAAACCTAATCATTATTAAATTGATTGGCATTTGTGACAGTGATAATTTATTTTGAGCCAGCTTTGTAACTCTTTGAGGCTCTTCTAATGAAGTTGGAGCTCTGATTTTTTTAATTTGTGCCTAAATAAGTTATATAAACATAATATTCAACAGTTTATTTTGATAAACGCCCTAAAATGGGAAGAGAGTCACACCAGCACAGCATCAACATTAGGAAGAAAGTATGTGTTGCTGTTTTAAATTGAATCCATTTAACGAGAGCTAGATACATTTACTTCTTCTATGTCAGGGAATTCCTTCAAAAGCTGAGCTGTTATTTTCTGCTCAACTAATTTGCAGTAAGTGACTTTGGTCTTTAAGGATTGCAAGAACTAGTTGTTTTTGAATTTGAGCAACTTTTGTAGCTTTTGCTCTGTCTTAACTTAACACATTGATACCTGTACCAGCTTTACACACCTCTTGTTACACTTAAAGACAGCTAGTTTTTGACATACTACTGGAACTCCTAATAATAAAAATCGATTTTCAGAAACTAGCTGAATAAACCATCCATTTGGACTTTGTTTTACTATGAACTAAAATGTCAAAAGTTAACCATAATTCAGCAGTGATGAAGTCAAACTAGCAGTGATGAAGTTCAACCGCTTTTCAGGTACCGACATGTTTTTTATTTAAGGTTAAAAACCTTTATTATTATGTCTATCCATGTCATAGTCATCTGATTTAGACATGTTATAGAGCTTTTTGGCAATCCTTTTTTTTTTTTCCTGTTCAGTAATTGAATTGTCTAAATTTGTAAGAACATTAGGAACAACTGTTGGATTTAGGTACTACTTTGGTTCCCCCATAACTTAAACACTTCACTGGCAGTAGATTTATCCTCAACACCCTTGGTCATCTTCGGAATAAATTTTCTTTAATTTTATAAATTTATATTTTTTAACGCATGAAGTTTAGTATATTTCAATTTATATTTATATACAATATTTATATTAACTGTGGTTGTGAAATATCTTTTTTTTCATTGTTTATTAAATTGGATGCATAAAAGATAGCAAAATGCTTGCCCATCTATGCGAGCTGAATCCAGATCAATATGTTTCTGCACAGAATTTTTAAGAAATAATAAATATTTTTAGTGATGAATCTGATATGGTGCATATCATCAGGTTTCCTAAAAATAGATAAAGCTAGAATTTAGATGAAGCTAGAATTCAGGTACACGAGACATAATTCTGCCATAGTAGTCATTTCACTTCTTACCGGGCTAAAATTTTATTAGTTAATTTTTAGTACCGAAATCTAGATACTTTAACGTTATGAAAAAAAGTTACTAAAAATGATTAATAAGTATTCTAGTAAATATTTGTTTACAATTGTTTTAAACTAACCTCTGAGTTTTAAAAGCTTTTACTATCAACATTAGTTAAAATTATTTTTTTTTAAATCAGAATTTTGTTTTGAGCTTCCAGCCAGGTTCTACAAACAGACCATTTAAACCTGCTTGTCTGGTAACCTTCATTTTTAATGGAACCCCATTATTTTTGAAGGAATTTAAATAACGGATTTTTAGGACCAACGGTGGCTTTTTAAACCCTAATAACCTTTTCAAAATGCTTTATTTGGATTTTTGACGTGGCTAGGACTTGCCAAGATCTTAGTCTTAAAAGTACTTTTTTTTGTTACATTTTACTCTTACTACAGTCAAATTATTTCTCCCAACGTAATTGTTATAGGATTTTAAAAATTAAAACAACACATTTATTAATAAGATTTTAAAAACACATTTTTATTAGTTTTTAAAATAACGCTAAAATACTAATAAATAAATAGTAAATATTACAAATTACAAATTATCAGTTTATTTACTATAATACTCTTCTCATCTTCTTTTTTTATTTGCCCAAAAACTGCAATAAGATATGTACATAAGTAATAAATGTCCATAAAAACTGCAATAAGATATGTACATGAGTAATAAATGTCCATAAAAACTGCAATAAGATATGTACATGAGTAATAAATGACCATAAAAACTGCAATAAGATATGTACATGAGTAATAAATGACCATAAAAACTGCAATAAGATATGTACATGAGTAATAAATGTCAATAAAAACTGACAAAGATTACACGTTTATAAAGTTTTTTATGATTAAAAACAATGAACTCACTCAAAAAAATTTTAACTTTTGTTAAATGCTTTTTTATGTTTTATATAAATGTTTTGTTAAATGCTTTGTTAAATGCTGGTTGTAAACAATTTAAAAAAATAAATATTAAAACCTTCTTTAAGAGTTATTGCCAAGAGGATAGTAGATTTTTCTTTAACCGTTGTAATTTTTTGAAATAATTAACTTTTCAAAAAAGTTATAGTAATTTTGAAAATACTTTGTACAAATTATTTTATTGAACAAAATTCACATGTTCAATGTTATTTATTAGTGTAGCTCGAAAACAATTTATGACGTAATCTTTAAAACAATTTCAAAAAGCGTCTTCTGATGTAACTTACAAAACTGGTACATCAATTCTGATGTAACAGTTAGAATTCGGACCTAGTTGGGGTAGGGTAAGCTCTGATAATAAGAGTTATAATAATAATAATCTTTCTATTGCATCAAAATAATATTATTTATAAATATTGAAAAAACTACTAAAAATAAAATCAACGAAAAATAAGGTAAAAATTTTTTTCCAAGACTTGTACGTTTTGCACTTTTAATCACTGAGTTTCCAATACTTTTATGCTTTGCATTTGTAACAACAGGGTCGATAGATTCGTTGCACCCTTCATCATGGCAACAATACGCCTAAATAAATAATTAAAAGCTACTTTAATACAATAAAAACTAATTAATTGTTTTATAACTTAGAAGACACCTGAGTTCATTAAAGAATAATTATTAATAATTGATCATAATATTTTCAACTCAATAGTTTCATTTATTATAATAATAAATAAACTTCTTTTAAAATAATTTTAAAAATTTTGATCATTTTATAAATAAAATATTTACATTATGTTTGAGATCTATCTTCAAAAATTTATATGTTTATACGTATGTCAAACAAAGTTAATTGGCAAAAAATTGCGATGATTGGAGTCTGGGAACAAAGTACCCTAAAATTTTGGTCACAGCTGCCCTAAACAAGAGAACAACAATAAAATATTTTTTGATAAAATATTTTTTGTACTATTCTTTAATAAATGAATATTCATCAATAAATTCTAAATTTTGTGAAGTATTTACTTAGCGTTCAAAATTATGGCCTTAAAAAATTTGTTACCCTCTCAAGTTAAGGGTTAAAAATTAAGTTAAAAATTTACAGAGCTCAGAACTTTTTGTTCCTATACTCTAACCATCGCAATTTATATATATACATATATATATATATATATAAATAAATAAATAAATAAATATATATATATATATATATATATATATATATATATATATATATATATATGTATATATATATGTATATATATATATATATATATATATATATATATACATATATATATATATATATACATACATATATATATATATATACATATATATATATATATGTATATATGTATATATATATATATATATATATATATATATATATATATATATATACATACATATATATATATATATATATATATATATATATATATATATATATATATATATATATATATATATATATATATATATATATGTATATATATATATATATATACATACATATATATATAAACATATATATATACATATATATATATATATACATATATATATATATATATATATATATATATATATATATATATATATATATATATATATATATATATATATATATATATATATATATATATATATATATATATATATATATATAAATTTATACAATTGTATATAAAACATAAGTTTCAAAAGTTTTTAAAACATTTTGTTTAAAGTTTTTTTGTTGGATTAAATTGAAAACACACTACCTTGCATTCTTGGAATCTTTTACAATATTCAACTTTACAATTTCGACTAGTTTCCGCACATGATTTCAAGAAACGTGATTTAACCATAGTTTTGTTACCAGAGTAAATTAGGAAAGTGTGATGCACTGTTAAGCAAGTATTTTCATTTGCTCCACATTCTTCAAACTTCTGTGTCACTTTGCAACTTGCTTCAGATCTCGAAGTACATGTATAGCATTTCAAACAAGAACCTTTATTTAAAAAATTAAATTTAATTAACTTACGTTTCAAGTAAATAAAATAAATTTAACAATACATGTTTACTAATAAAAATATTTATGCTACAGTAATGAAAATTATTAAAAAGAAAAGAAAAGCAACTACAGTATTTTGTATTCGTGAGTTAGATTTGTATTTGCAAATAAGAACAATTTTATTAAAAAACTAATTCTTACAAAGAGAGATGGAAATTAAAATAAAAATAGCTTTCAAGTACGAATTTAGTTGCATGACAAAAGTTGCTGTTCTTATGTTCGTTCAAATTGAATATGAAATATAGAATTTGCGAAAAATATTTCCTACATTTTTTTCACAATGCATCCTGTTTTCTGCAAAGAAACTTATTGCAAACCTTATTCTAAATAATTCAATTTTTGAAAATATGGAATATGTTTAAAGCCTTCATTAATACCATCTATGAACTTTATGCTTAAGTTTTATGATAAGATTAACTTGGATGAAATTTTTTTTGCTTTTTCTAGGTTTTCTCTTTACATTTAAAATCATTAAATATTAATAGCTACACTCACAATGAATTTAAAACAGTCTATTTATTTTATTTTAATCGTAAGTAAAGACTAATAAAATCAAATAATAATTTCATTAAATATGTGGTGATTTGAAAATAAATGATATTCGTTAGAATGTTAGTTAACTTTATCGCCATCATAAATATCTATGTCATAACGACAAGTGGTAATTTTATAAATCTTATATATTAAAAACGAATTAGATTTTATTTAAATGGATAAATTTTTATCTGGTTTTTTTTAAGTTGACAAATTAATTTTATTTTTGAGGACTGCAATGTTATAAATGCAGTGCTGACAACGATGAAAACTGTCTTTACCAACAAAAAATAGAAAACTGTTCAAAATACGAAAACAGTTGTATAACAGAGTCTTATAGCTACAAAGTAGAAGATATTGATTCAACTTTATTTGAAAGTGTTTTTCAAAAAAAATGTCACAATTCTATAACCGAAAGTTGTTCTCAAATACGTAGAAGCTATAAATGGTTAGGTTTTGAAAAATCTCAGGTAAATATTTTAATATTTTAATTATTATTAGACAAACTAATAGACTTAGGTGAGTATAAATTAAATGTTAAAAACTTAAATGTTCATTGAACTTTAGGTAGCGTGCTGTTACACAAATTTGTGCAATAAAGAAGTTAAAAAAGAAGTATTTTTAAAAGTGTACAAAAACAAGGCGATACAGTTGTTTTCAGTACCACCAATATTTCATTTACTTATGTATTATTATCGTTATACATTAAGCATTTTCAATTAATAAATATTTTAGTTAAAAGTTTGTCATTGATACGAAAATCCTTATTTATTTAGTATTCAGAAGTTTAACTTATTATTATTTTTTTTTATTATTATAAAAAAGACCATAAAAAACTTTGCGCAGAAACTTTTTTTAATCCTAAGAGTTTAATTTTAACAATTATTTAAGAGATAATTAAAGGTGACAGATGGTCATACATTATAGGAGATGCATTTTTAACAATTATTTAAGAGTTACTGATAATTAAAGGTGACAGATGGTCATACATTATAGGAGATGCATTTTTAAGGAAGGAAATACTGTTTTAGAGGACTTTGGTTTTAAAGGTTGAAATTGCAATTAATGATGTGTTCAGACAAGTTGTTCTAAAATGTTACACAGAGAATAAAAGTACACAGAGGTTTTCAAGAGAAGAAAAGTTATTTCTAAGACTACGAGTATTAGTGAATAATAGATTTAGAGAACTTGATGAAGACAATGGTTTTTGGGTTTTATAGTTTTTGATACTTTAATCTTTTTTGGATTTGTTAAAGAACCTGAATCAAAGCACAGGTAGCACTCAATACACTATAAAATTGTCAAAGCAATTGCTTCATTACATATAATAAACCTTAAGCCGTAACTAAGGGCTGCAAATGTGGTCTCGACAATGCATACTAAAAGTGCAAACAGAGACACAATCAGGGATATGCGCAACATGACACAGGTAGTACTCTAATACTTTACAGTTGTTGATGGGATCAACTACTCCGAGAGCTACCACAGAGTTCAGTAAACCTAACTACCAACCGGTCTCAGAACTATAAAACTGATTTTCAGAGCTGTGCCTCATTAGGAGATAATAGATTAAATTGCCTAGCCAAAAACAGGTTGTCACTGGGTTATATGTTACCAGTATCAGGGTAACCTAACCTGACAATACTGATTTGAATTACCTCTGACAATATTGAGGGGGTTTTTGTTTATGCTTTAAAGATTGCAGAAGAAATATTGAGGCAATTTTCCGAGATATGAAGATAAAAAAAAAAAATATCTTCATTTACGAGTCAGAACATAAACCCCTTGATAATCTCAAAGAGAAGTTTAGAATTTCTTTTTTTGCAATAGTAGACACTGTAACTAGTTCCGTAAAAAAGCGGTTCGCGCAACTAAACGAAACCACAAAATGAAAAGTTCAGAAGAACTGATAATTTTTTGTAAAAATGTAAAAGTGCATTTACTTAACATTATCCTAAAAAACCCGCGTCTTTTCAAAAAGACATTGATACAACAGCTCTCTGCTTCGAAATTTTAGGAATAACTCATCTATAAAAAAAGATGATCCGAAAAATGAGCTGCGCAGACTGTATAAAAATAGTTTGGAAAGTTTCCAAATTTGAGTTCCAAACCTCTTCGTATTTTATAGGCTTGACCAATACCAATTTCTCTCTGCATTTTCCAATATCAGTGGTAAGTGCAGAGAGAAATTTCTCAAAATTGAACCTAATAAAAACTTATCAACACAGTTCCATCCTACAGGACTTATCAAAATATCGATGGAAAAAAAAAATGGCTTAACCAACTTAAAATAATAGATTCTTACTTAAAACAAAATACTTTACTAAAGATTTGTTTTTCTTCCAATCTTTTGTTATTTGTTGTTTGATACAAGTTATGCAATGTACTCGGTGTTAATTTTTTTAACTCAAGTAGTAAAATTCGGAGAATTTAAAGGGCATTTGGCATAATCAGAAAAGAATTGGAACCCGCCTGCGTTATCGATATATAGAGAAACATGTGGGGTTGAAGTTGGAAACTAAATGGGAAAAAAAAAAAAAACTGAAAGGGCAGTGAACATAATTCAAAACTAATTTTGATTGGCTATTCGCCAAATTTTTAAAAATCGAATATTGGATGATACACGAAAAATAAACCAGATGAAAAAAAGTCAGTGCAGTACATTTTCACGGAAACAATTTCAACAGTCAATTGCGACGCCATGTCCTATAAGTCTAAAAGGTGTAAGTGGAAAAAAACAGAAAATGACCAGAGAAATGACAACTACAAACCAAAAATTGTTCTACCTATATATATTCATGATATAACATTAGGCAATTTCAACAGATAAAGTGATAATAATTATTGAAAAAGTATTTTCATAGAGAATGAAAAAATTGAAATTAACCAAAGGAATGAAGAGATTAATAATGTAGTTTGGTCTAGGTGTGCAAAAATTGTGTTTGTAAAGAAAGGTACCCTAGAAACTGGAGTGAGTTATTGAGTGAGATATTGAATTTGAATTTTAAAACGTCAAATCTTAAACTTGTTTTTAAATATCTTAATATATCACGCAGTGGTAAGACTGTAATTAGTTAAAAAGCAGATGTTGTGTTAGTAATATAGAGAGAAAAGAAAAAACTTCCAATAACAAAAGAGTTCAACTAACAGGGTCAAATTTGCCCACAAAATGAACGAAAAACTCATTAATGGGGGGATGATGTCTCACTCGACCAACAGATCCCTTCCCCGTCCATTGCGCCCGGTTTACCCGAGACTTAGGTGGGCGCAAAGCCACGAGATAAAAGATGGGTAGGAGACCTATCCTTATTTTAAAATTACGTATATTTTTTTGAATTTGTTATTTAGGTGCCCTAAGATGACCTAACGGTCATGTCACAAAGCACCGTGGAAGTGCATTAAACCAGGAAGTTCACACCTCCTTGCTTACCGTGACGCAAAATAGGTACAAATCTCGTCTTGAATTTGGATCTCCTGCTTATAAAACAAGCGCTCTAACCACTGCGCCACGGCTGTACAAATATTTAAGGATGCGGAGTTCCGAAAAACCTCCGGATTTGAATGTCACAAAAAGATTACTTTTTCTTAGTTTTTGGTATCCAGGTGCTATGATAATATAAAAACGCTTATGGACTACTATTGGTAAAAAAGTTAAGAATTTTAGGTTAGAGGAACAATATCATTTTGACCCCGGAGTCCTTAGGTATAATGGCGGCTAGGATTCTGGGACTTTGGGCTTAAAAACAATACGTTTCAAGTTATTCAATTTCATGAGTTTTTTTATTTAGCAAATTATAAATCAACCAACAAGTTCAGAGCTTTTGGACACCAGAGACTAGTAAAAAATAGAGATATAATACCGGACTCCTTTTGGGACTTTGCATTCCTGATTATACTAATATTTGTGCATGTCAATATAATAATATTTCGATGTCAAGATGCAGCTAAAGAGCTTCATCTAGACATCGAAAGAATCACAAGAGGCTTGCGAGCTGCAGGTTGTAGCCCTTGTATAAAAGCTTAAACAATATAATGTAGATATGAATCTTTTTTGTTTGCACAGCAGACTGAGACAACAATAACTTTAAAAAATAATAGCGTTACAAGTAAACATCTTGTGTGTAATTATTTAGTTCTGTATGTCGGGTCTTGTTAAGGCACAAAACGGTTTTAAAAAAGTAGGAATATAAACTATAAGATAGGAATTAAAAAACTGAAGGTTCAGTGACTATGTAACACAGGACTGCAAACGCTGCAATATTTTCCTTTTTTAAAATAGTTATATTTATAAAAAGAAAAAGTAACATGTTCAAAAAAAAATAAAGTGTTGACGTCAACTTTTCTTGATCTCCCTCCTCCCCTTTGTCAACAACTGTCAAAAAAAATCAGACTCCCTCCCCCTATTTTGTTGACGTAATTAATGGACAGCCGTAATAATGACGTAATTACGGACGGAATAATGACGTATATTACGGACAACCGTATATAATGGGCAAACAGTTTAATATCAGTACTTAATACTGCTTGTCCCCATCTAAAAATGGCAGACTTTTTGCGCTACGATCACGTGGTTATTTTGCCATAAAAATTGTTGACTGCCAATTATGACTCGCTTTTAATATTTTTTTTGGATGTATATCTATATGATGTTTAATTAATTCAACCGACAGATCTTCTCCTTTACATATCTGTTATATTTACCAATGTCGAAGTTTAAAGTCGATGTCATATATGCTAATAAGATCGATAACTTTGAGGAATTTTTTAAAACGAATATTTATACTCAGCGGAAACCGGTTGTTATAAAAGGACTTAATGTTGGAGTTGCTACTGAGAAATGGGACGTGTCTTATTTGTCAGAAAATGTTAAAAAGGCTCCTGTTCAAATACACGTTTGTCCTGTAGCAGAAATGGATTTTATAAACAAGAATTTTTTGTATAAGACAATTAATTTTGATGAATTTTTGGCTAAAGCTGAAAGTAAAGTTCAATCAAGTTTCTTTATTTGCTCTGAGGAAAAATATTACCTTAGATCGTTAGGAGAAGATATCAGAAATGACGCTGCTGATATAAAGAAGCAATTTCCAAAACTATCACAAGATCTTATTATTCCAAATTTGTTTGATGAAAGTAGTTTTTTTTCTAGTATTTTTAGAATTAGTTCTTCTGGCTTGAAACTTTGGACGCACTACGATGTCATGGATAATATATTATTACAAATAAAGGGTACAAAAAAAGTAGTTTTTTTTTCTCCCAATGATGCTTTGAATTTATACTTGAATGGTGATAAATCAGAAATAATTGATATAAAAAATACAGATTATGAAAAATATCCAAAATTTAAAAGTGTTAACAGGTACTCTTGCAAAATCTATCCTGGAGATGTTCTATTTATTCCTGCACTTTGGTTTCATAATGTTACTGCGATTGATTTTTCAATTTCGGTGAATGTTTTTTGGAAACATCTAAATGACAAAATGTATAACAAAAAAGATATTTATGGAAATAAAGATCTAGTTCCTGCAGAAAAAGCAATGCAAAGTTTTGATAAAATTATAAAACTCCTTGAAGAACTTCCTATAGACTATAAAGATTTTTATATGAAACGCCTAATACTGAAAGCAGACAAAGCCATAAATAAGTGGAGATTAGATGAACAAGTTAAGTTAAACAAGGTTTAACCAATTATATTTATCTGAACAGAAAACTAAATCTGATATTATCATCAGATAATAGTTAATTATGGCGCACATATTATTTTAGAAAAAGTTTTAGTGATATAATCTGTAAATTATATTACAAAAATATAATTAAACTATAACTAAAACAAATAAATTAATTATATTTGGTTTTAGATAACAAAGAAAATAAAAAGAATTCCAAAATGATTGATTTTATTATTATTAATATTATTATTAAAGGGTGTTTGTTAGTTAGTGTATGTGTGTGTATATTTTATATATATATATATATATATATATATATATATATATATATATATATATATATATATATATATATATATATATATGTATATATATATATATATATATATATATATATATATATATATGTATATATATATATATATATATATATATATATATGTATGTAGGTATGTATATATATATATATATATATTTATATATATATACATACATATATATATATATATATACATATATATATATATATATATATATATATATATATATATATATATATATATATATATATGTGTATGTATGTATATATATATATAAATATATATATATATATATACATACCTACATACATATATATATATATATGTATATATATACATATATATATATATATATATATAAATATATATATAAATATATATTTATATATATATATATATATATATATATATATATATGTATGTATGTATGTATGTATGTATATATATATATATATATATATATATATATATATAAATATATATATATATATATATATATATATATATATATATATATATATATATATATATATATATATATATATATATATATGTATTAGTAAGGTTACCAGATTTCCACCTTTTACGAAAGAACACACAGTAAAAAAGTTCATTTTTACAGGTTTGGCACTGTATTCTCCTCCATAAAAGCTGGGCATCTTGCATTGGTAATGCAAGAATAAAAACGATAAACATAAGCAAGTGTCATAAATTTCTATTCAGAGGTTCTGAAGCTACTTATATATAGTGTTGCCAGATGCCAGGCTTTTATAGAGAAGAATACAGCGCCAAACCTATAAAAAGAAATTTACTGTGTTCTCCTTCATAAAAGGCAGACACCTAGCAACTTTTGATTATTGGCAATCTTTGATTATTGTCTATGATTTTTCATACTGTTGATCATCATTAACAATTTGTTAATGGTTATCAATAGTATGAAAAATCATAGACAATAATCAAAGATTTGGTACTTTCAAAAGTCTAGTTTACCAGTACATTTATTATTACCTCTTTCAGTTATGTCAAACAACATATAAAAGTTTATAAATAAAAAGTTTAAATAAGTTAGGTTTTTACTATTTTATTTTTTATTTTTTTTATGTTATTTTAGAAAGTTTTTATAATGAACCAGCTTCTTCAAAGATAGCATTTCTATACTGTATTTACCATTATTACTACTAAGCATGAATATGCGCACATATTACTTTAACAACAATAATAAACTTAATAAATAAAATTATGCTTAAGTTTAATTGTTTATTTATTTATTTTTATTTTGCTTCTGTAATCTTCTTAAACAAGTTTTGTAATCTTCTTAAACAAGAAAAATCTTTTTTACTGTTTTTATAATCAAAATTATTTAGTTCTGTTTAATTGTATTTAAAATCAGGATGTTGAAACATTCGTTTAAACCAATTGAACAGCAGATTTTCTGGATCTAATACTGATCAGCCAATCAATAATAACCTCAGCATGCAAAAGCATGCATGCTGAGGTTAAAAAATGTTATTTTTTTGTATATAAAATTTAGGTAATTTATTAACCCTAATTAAATAACCCTAATGCAGTCATGTTGTTGGATCCTCGGATGACTTGTATTAATTATAACTTATATTTTGATAAACAGATTACTACTTTAGCAGAGGCGTAACTTAAGTTTTTATTTAGTTTAGTTTTAGAGTTGCTTATAATATATAGTTTAAATAAATATTTACATTATATTAAATATTACATCAAAATACAAAATATGCTCAATGAAATAATTTTATCATAAACAATATAATGTAATGATTTTAAATTTATAATCTTCTGCGTGATTTAAAATGGGCAAATTTTTCTATAGCTCTATCTAAATTTAGTGATTTTGCAATTTAAAAATTTTATGACATCAAATTGCAATTTGGTGTCATAAAATAAAAATTTTGTATTTTTTGTAAAAATTTCGAATGAATTATTTTTAAATCTTTACATTCTAACAAGTTAAATGGTTGTTTGGTAAAAAGTTTGGTGAAAAGGTTGTCTTGTTTTTATTGTATATTTAAATCTTTTTCTAATTTGAGATATAAGCCAATTTGCAAAAAAAGGTGATATTTCTGCAATATGTTTTATGTCATTTATGGCTAAATTCTAATTATGAGCATTACAAAGAATAGTTTGCCTTAGGTTGAAGTTTTTTTATATTCTTTTGAACACCATTGTGTATTCCTGATATAAATTTGGCCCCGTCATAACCTTACCCAATCAGTTTATCAATAAAAATATGTCTTTTTTCCAGAGATTGTATTAACTATTTTTAATACCTGTAGCATCTCAGGATGTTACTTCTTGAAATCCTAAAAATGATTCTTTTATATTTACTTTAGGTAGAATTTTATTGTCATCATATTCAGTTTTAACATATCTGCAGACTTCACTTAACATATCCTACTTCCACGGCACTTGATTATTTTATTTTGAATCCTGCTACTCATATATTTAATTGCTCCTTTTAGTTTATTTAATGTTTCATAAAGGGATCATATACTCCTAGAAAAGAAGCGATTTCGTGAAAATTTCTGTTTGATTTTTCTGATAATTTATGACCGCGAAATGCCATGTTACTTCTAGCTAATGTAAGGGTTATTCGAAACAATCGATGCAGAGCTTCTACCCAAAATCCTTTTTCTTGTTTTACGATGTTTTCAGGCGCCTTGTCCTTGATTTATTTTTCCAAATGTTATATGTCAAACAGGCTGATAAATCTTTAGATAATGATTCGTGTTTTTTCAATTTTTGTAGATAAATTTTTTCAGCCTCTAATATCTTTTTATCAATTTTTATTATTCTTGTCTTGTATTACAAAAACACCATTTACTTTTATTGAATAGCTAAGTCAAGCTCTAATTGATTTTCTCATTGCGGCTTGTTTAAAAAATTACGTTAAGGAAAAGGACTGATTAATTTGATTTGAATCTCGTAAAAATCAAAACTTTTAGGATATTTGGAACCTAAATTGATAATAATTTTCATTTCTTATTCAGAAACTACTTTTTCAATATAGTGGTACAAAATTATATTTTATTTACAAAAATATATTTTTAAAATAGTTGTACAAAAAAATATGAAAAACTTAAGTCAAGATGATCAACCTGTTCATTAGCATATTTTGGTGATTGTACTAATTCATTATTTTTGAGATCTGTTGCAAGGACACGCCCCTGACAAGTGGCGTTAGTGCAGATCTCGTGCTCTCCGAAACGTCATTGATGATCGCAGTGCATTCCTGAGGAGGGAGATCACCATTAATCCACTACTTAATTCTATTTGGTTATTATAGCACCAACATTTTTTTACCTTTTACACCCATGAAGTTTTGCGCTTTGTGAGCTTTTTATTATGAATTTGTTACATTAACGACATTTATATATTTTTATGTTACACAGGTGATTATCAGTTCTTAATTTATTATCTAGAGTTCAGAACATATATAGTACCACATTTATAAGACATCATTATTTTTTTATTTTTTTTTTTATTTTTTTTTTTAATATTGATCCACCTGTCATTTATTATCATTTTACTTACTATTTTGTTATCTCCTAATTCTATTGTTTTTGTATGATGCGATTATTTTAGTAATAGATATATTATTAATAAACCAATGGATTTATATTGACTTGTTTACTTAGATTTATATTGACTTGTTTACTCATACATCATTGTTCCCGAGTCGCTAACTTTTACTCCTCCTACTAAATAGTCTTCACATTAATTTGTGTTTTTTTACCTAAATGACATCATCTACAATCTGTTTTTATTTCCCCAAATCCAAGGTCTACGTAACTGGACGGCTTCGTTGGTCACTTTTTGCGGTCTTTGTGTCGCATAAACAAAAACTTTAAGTCAAGATGATCAATCTGTTTATTAAGATAATTTGGTGGTTCATAGTTTCACTAATTCATTATTTTTTTAAACATCTTTTAAAATATTTAATGCATAAGTATGCACTGTGTATTCCCTATCTTCAAAGCTTGTCTCAATGTGGCAAAGTTATTTTCATTGTTATTACTATTTATTTCTTTATTTAATGAAGATGTAGATGGTTTATCATCAGAAGTTACTTCAATGTTGTTAATTGAAGATTTATTTTCTATATGAAAAAATGCATCACTTTTTGCATATTTTATTATTAAATCTTTCTTTTCTTTGGCACTTTTTCTTTTTGAAGCCCCAGTTTCAAATTTTCTTTTTGTATGCATTTTGCATTATTGCTTACAATATCTGTAATACAAATATTAGAATGTTTTAACCTGCTCTCAGTGTTTATGGTCTCCAATTTTCGGAAATACCATAATTCAAAGCGGTGTAAAAAATGCAAAAGCTAATACTGTTTGAAGTTTCATTAAACGTTGAATCCATGTTTCGATATAGCAACTTTATGCAGTTAAAAAATTTGTCTCTGGTTAATCAAGACTTATATTAAAATGTCATAAGTAAAAGAAACACTATATATATATATATATTTTTTTTTACCTCAAATACATTCAAACTTATTTAAAACTCAATATTAGTCTAAAAACCATATCTCAAAACCTCAACTTTAATAATGATAAATTCTAATCAACTTTAAGAAGCAAAAGATCAATATGTCCACAAGCTATTGACTTATAGTTTTTCATAAAATGGTTTATACACCAATATACTTTCACTAAATTAAAAGATATCGATGGGTGGTTTTGCTAAGTTAAAAGATATCAATGGGTGGTTTCACTAAATTAAAAGATATCGACGGGTGGTTTTGCCCAAATGAAGATATCTTTAATTCAAATAATAGGAAAAAAATCTATTGTTAAAATTGGTTGCTAAATTTAAATATAATTTCAAATACTTAAACTATAAATAAAATTAAAATAAAAACATTAAAACGAATGTTTTAATGTTTTTATTTTAAATTAAAGATCTAAATTAAATTAATTAAAATAAAAACAGTAACAAAAAAAATTACTTAAGTTCATTAAAGTTTATTAAATTCTAAAAATAATTCTATTAAAAATGGCAAAACGAACTTTTTCTTTGAAATTATTATTGAAAATACTCTTTTCTTTTTTACAAGCAAAAATTATTAATATTACGACATCTTACAACCACTGATCTCAAAATATAACTATATTTATATTTTGAGATCAGTGGTTACAACAGAGATGGGTCAAATTTATTTTCAACATGTGTACTCGATATATGCTCTTGTTCTATAGAGGCCTACAATCTTTTTTATTTTTATATCACTTTTAGTTTTACTTAAAATATTGTTGACCTTCAATATCAGCAACAGTACTAGCATTGCGTTAAAAATTCGATCGCATACAGATTAGAAAATAGATTAAAGAACTTTTAAGTACATTTGGTTGAGAAAGCCTAAAGTGTTTCCAGAACTGAAAAACGAAGACTCTTTTAAACAATCAAGATGCAAAATATCTTCGATAAAGTTGTCATCGATTTCAAATTCTTTTATTTTTACAGGTATTTGATCTTTCAACCAGATAAATGAGAATCTTAAGCAGTTTTTACAATTCCTGATTGAATTTGTTGAATGAAATATCAAAGCGCAACCTTAAAGATGTTCACTTCAAACGTATGTTTAGTTGAAAAAAAAACTTCATTTTCAGGTTCATTGTCATTTTGCTATCATCATTTTTTTTACCAAAAATTTTGTTTCATAGGCAAGACCAGTCATCCGTTCATCATGGGTCAATATTTTTATTGAAGCTAAAGCAACGGCTTTACTGTAGCAGTGACTTATTAAAAACTTTAATTCTTTGGTAATATAAATAAAGCAAAGTTAATTGCTATGCACGTCACCTAGTAAATTTACTTTATACCTAATCAACAAAAATAACTTTTTTAACTCTTTTTTATTAAAATTTAATCATGTTATATAAGGTTAAAAAGCGAATTTAATTTTAAAAAGAGTTGTCTAATAAACTGAAAATTTGATTTTTTACAAAAATAGCAAAATTTTTACCCTACAGACATTCTTTAAAGCCCTGTATAGACAAAAGAAAAAGCAAAAATTTTTTAAAACTGAAATTTTTAATACCACGTTTATTTTTATTTTTTTTTTCGTTTGTTGCCATATATATATATATATATATATATATATATATATATATATATATATATATATATATATATATATATATATATATATATATATATATATATATATATATATATATATATATATATATATATATATATATATATGTATATATATATATATACAAGGCCAGCGCGATAGGGGGGTGTAGGGGGGTGATCCTTCCCCCCTCCCCCCCTATCAATGATTTTATCATTTAATTATTCGGGAAATTTTACCCTTATTGACCAGTTTAGTCGGCAAATGTATAACCTTTCGATAAGTTAGTCGGTAAATTTTTAAAGTCAGTCGGCAAATGGAGGGCAAAAAGCAGTCGGCAAATTTTAAAAAACGAGGACTTTTTTTTTTTTTGTTCGGAAAAAGTTTTAATGACATTCCCCCACGTGGCACCTACTCGCGCCGGCTCTGTATATATATATATATATATATATATATATATATATATATATATATATATATATATATATATATATATATATATATATATATATATATATATATATATATATATATATATATATATATATATATATATATATATATATATATATATATATATATATATATATATATATATGTAAAGCTTTAAAAATAATACATTTTCAGAATTCAATGCCAATGTGTTTTATCTTACTTCTAAGATCCTTAAACTGAGTGACCTTGTTTACTTCTTGAATTACCAATGTGTCTGGAATCACCAACACAAAAACCTACCTCTTACCTTCAATATTTTTTCCCCAAAAAATGCAAATAACCGATACTTTCTTCGATCAACTGATAATCTGAACCTAGCAATCTTAAAACATCGTTCTGTTACTTATGCGTATAAGTCCATAAAAAACCAAAGTATAAAATATTGGAATAACCTTCCCTATGGCCTAAAAGCTCTTCATTCAATCTATGCAAATCTTCAATAATGTAAAATAATTTAAATAAAGATTTTGATTGTTTAAATCAATATTAATTAATGATATATAATATAACTAGATGTCTAACTTGGATCCGAAAAATGAAGCCGTTTTTTGCCCTTTTTACAAATGGCAATTTATTTGAAAACAAATACTTTTAACTTTTCTTTTTTTAAATGAAGTAAATATATTTTAAATTTAAATACTTTTTATGTAAAAATGTTAAGTTGAAATTAGAATACTTATAAAATAATAATTTATAATTCCTTAATTTATTTTCGATATAAAAAGGATCAAAGTTTTAAAATAGAAAAGTAAAAGGACAGACGCTTTTGTAGCATTTTTATAAATTAAAATACTTTTTAATAAACAATTATATTCAAAATTTAGATTTTTTGAAAGAAAATTTGAATTTTTTCAAATATTTTTTATATTTTATATACTTTATAAATGCTATTCAATATTATTATATATAATTTTATACATTTAAAAATTATCAATGTTAAAATGTTTATAACAGGGTTTCCCACTTCATTTCGACAACGTATCATTCAATTTCGACATTGTATCAGTACATTTCGACAATGTTTCATTCAATTTCGACACCGTTGCATTTGATTTCGACTGTTTTGCATTCAACTTCGACAGCGTTAATAATACTTAAATTAATATACAAATAAAGCAGTTAGATTCTATCTAAATTCATTTAGATAATATAATTTTTTAGTTTGGATACAAACTAAAATCTAAACAAAAAAATTATCGTATATAAAGTATTGTAATTGCAAATATTCGCTAGTAAAAACAAAAATTACAAAAGTAAGTTTATTCTTCAATAACTGGTTCTCTTCTTGAACACGGAATCATATACCTCAGTACGTGCGCAAAATAATTATTACAGTTTGTGCTAGTAATATTCAATTCACCGTTTTGTATATTTTCAAGCAGTTCGTCCTCAGTCCTAGACGAACATCTTCTGATAAACTGTTTCCATTCAGAAAACATATTTTCAATAGGGTTTAAAAAGGGGGAATATGGAGGTAAAAATATCAAAGAATGCCCAGCACGTACTATTTCATTATGAACAACAGCAGTTTTATGAAAACGAACATTGTCTAAAATTAAGATAGCTCGAACAACTTCATTAACAGCTAATTGTGCTAATACTAAACGAATAAAATCTAAAAAGCTTTCTGTATTAAATGCTCTTGTTTGTGCTTCATATTTCAAAATTCCGTTTTTGTTCATTGCACAACAGACGGAAATATTTCTTAACCGTATATTGGTCACTGTTTGTGTGACCCTCTTTCCAGCTAAAGAACGTCCTCTTCTAACTCGCATTGAAAGACTAAATCCTACTTCATCAATAAAGAATATTTTATTGCCATTTATAGAAGACAAAATGTTCATGAATCTTTCTGCATAAGTAGCTCTTTCATTAATAACGTCTTCCGAATTTCTTCTCTCTGAAATATTGTGAACCCGTTTCAAAGTATAATTAAAACTATCAATGCATCTTGCTATAGTAGATTGACTGACTGAAATGGATTTTTGTTCAAAAAGTCTTTGTTTAATTTCCATAATAGTTACTCCACAATCATCATCAATCCAATTTTTGATTAGTACCTTGGATTCTTCTGTTAATTTTTTGTTTCTAGAACCACCTTTTAATTGCCGTTCTATCGGCAAACCATTTTTATATTTTTTAATAATCGAATAGATTTTAGTTCGTTTAAATCCAAGAATATTTGCAATTTCTGATGGTGAGTTTCCATTTAAGCAAGATTCAATTATCCTTGAACGGTTTTCATTGTTGATTGTTTGATTCGGCGTTGCTGTTTATAAATATTGAAAATGATATTTAAGCTTTTATTATGAACTCTTGTTGTATTGAAAAGTCAAATGCTTTTATTTACTTAATAAAAAATTATAACATTAATTTATTTTTTGATGACAATTTAATTATGTATTGTTGGGATATTTTCCAAAGCGTAGATATTTTTTTTTGGCAATTAGACATAATTTATCCGGTCAATAAAAATAATGAATATAGCAATTAAAACAACTATTATGGTAACTTGAAATAATTAATATCCACATTGTTTATTTTACCTATATATTTTACGTATATCCAAAAAAATATTGAAACCATATTCATGATGTCAGTACCCACTTTAAATAATGCAGAATTAAAAAAATAGCCACATTAATTATTTTATTGTTCCGATTAAATTCAACCCATTATTATTTAACAAAAATTTTCATCATAAATATAAATACTTTAATTCAAAATAGAGTGTTTTTAAATTGTCGAAATGTGATGTAACAGTGTCAAAATTGAATACAAAAGTGTCGAAATGTAGTAATACAATGTCAAAATTGAATGCAAAAGTGTCGAAATGTTGTGATACAATGTCGAAATGAGGTGAGAAACCCTGTATTAAAGAGTGTTATAGACGCCCTTTTGACTCCCCGCATACGTCTTTTATGTATCCTTAGTCTCCTTTTTAAGATCTTATTTTGATACCAAGTGTTATGAATTTTGATGAGAATTGACAAAATTATGACATTTAAAGTTAAGAAAAACTCTAAATTTAGTCGCTGTTTCTTCAACAAACCCATATATCGAAAATTCGAAACTTAAAATGCTATAACTTTTCGTACAATAGTTTGATTTTAATAATTTTTCACTTTTAAAATGTAGCATTTAAGCTATATTAATATAGCAGTTAAGCTCTTTCCAATAAAGCATGACAATCTACTCTGTGGGCACCGGACCAAAAAAAGACGTCTTTTGAACGTTCAAAAGACGTCCAAAACGTTCAAAAGACGTTCAAAAGATGTGTAAAACGTGTATAAGACATTTAAAAGACGTCTTTTTTACGTCCGTGCCCACTGGGTAGTATTTGATTAATTTAAAAATTTCATGTCATTTACCTATTAACATCAATGAAATATTATATAACTAGATGTCTAACTTGCGAGATTTTATTGGATAAAAAATGAAGCCTTTTTTTTTTGTTTGTTTATAGCAACAGATTTTGTTTATAACAAAAGAACAAACGCCACTTGTAAAAAGGGCAAAAGCTGAAGCCGAAGTGTGGAATAAAAGTTAAAAATGCAAATCAAAAGTTCCCGATAAACTAAAGATAACTCAAAAACTAATTTTAATAATTATAAAATACTTATAAAAGATTTTTTACGAGCCTTTGTTTGTATTAAAACATTAAAACAGTGTCGAAATTGAATGCAAAAGTATCGAAATGTATTGATACAATGTCGAAATTGAATGCAAAAGTGTCGAAATGTAGTGAAATATTGTCGAAATAAGGTGAGAAACCCTGTATGATACGCCCTCCCCTAGCTACCCGGGTGTTTAGTGGAATTCAAGTAAAATATAGGTACCTAAATTCAGGGCAGCCAAGAGGTAGGGGCATTTAAAGTAGTTTGCCCCGGGCATCACAGTCTATGGGGCATCACGTATGCCATTAAAATTATTTTATTGATAAAAAATTTGTTTTATAACCTATTTAAAGCTTAAGCAATTTTTGTGTATTTTGTTTTTCTTTTAAACTTGGTTTACATTTAAAATAGAATAGATTTATTACTTTACAAGGCTTTCATTTTCTATTTGAACGCACACGTTTTCATTTGCCTTTTGTTTGCATAATAAAGTAAAAATTAATTTCTTATTTAACGGCATGTAAAAGTTCTTTTGGACATAAAGCAAAACTGGATATGAAACAAAGCGATGGAAAGTAATTTTATAATGCATTCTTTATGTCACATTTTTTCTTGCTTCAACAAATTTAGCATTTAGGAGTAAGAATATTGTTTTTATATTTTAATTTATATTTTGTATTATTTTATTTATAATTAAAAATCAAAATTAAAAGTTATAATAGGATATAAACATGGATTACTATTTTGATAGTTTTTTGTTTGCAGTTAGAATCCAATCAAAATTTGTTCAAAAATGGGAATGGAAACTTCTTGGAGCTTATTGCTAAGCAAGGCTATGACAATGGTGTTAATATGGAAGGTATTTACTATTGATTTCAAGCTTTGATTAGGCAGAAAAATCTACAAGCATTTTTCATTTATTGCTCTCCTCACAGTTTGAACTTATGTGCAGTACACATTATTGAATTATCGGCTCCTGCAAAATCCTATTTTTAAAATATTCAAAAGCTATACAATCTGTTCAGCTGCAGTCCAGTTCTTTGGAAAATTCTTCAGTAGGAGACAGACCAATCATTACATAAACTTTCTGTTACACGATGGAGCTCAAGGATTAAAGCAGTCAAGCCACTAGCAAAAAAGTCGATTTTGAAATCATTACATCGTCCAAATAAGTTAGACCTTCCAGGCGAAAGTAATAATGAAGTGTATTATCAAATTTAATAGATGAATTTTTTTTTTTCACTATTTCTTGGTATAAATCTTTGATGATAGTTATTAACGTGAGTCTTTAGCTTCAATTCACTTAACTAACTCTTGATGATGAAGTAAAGATTCTAAATGGCCTTTTGACAGATCTGGATTAAATGCGTTTGTCTTGGGACCTTATTATACCTTATAAAAGCAACAGAAGTTGTAAAGAACTTGAAATTTAATAAAATTATGTTTTTTGTGGAGAGAACGCAAAAAAAGAAGGACTTTCCTGATGAAACTGCTAGTTACAGCCACGAAGAAGCATCTAAAAACTTTGTCTTCAATGTTGCACTCAACAATCTGAATAATCAAATGAGATCAAGATTTAAATTATTGAAAGAGGAATATAACAAGTTTTCCATCTTTTGGTCTTCACAGAATTCTCAAACAGACAAAGAACTAGGTTTAAAAGCTGAGAATCTGGCTAAACGTTACTCAGAAGACTTATGTAAAAACGAATTCTCTGATGAAGTTTGGCATTTTTTTCCGTAAGAAGAAATATTCTAGCCAGCAAAAAGCCTGTCGAACTTCTAAATGAAGTTTATGCAAAGGGGTTGCATTACCCAATATAGGGCGGGCCTACCCAATATAGGGCGGGCCTACCCAATATAGGCAGGCCCGCCCACAATAATTATCTTTGCTTCCAACCTTGTTGGAAGCAAAGATAGTTATAAAAAAAAAAAAAAAAAAGCAATGCCCGTTTCAGTATCCTAAGGTGAAAGATCTTTCAGCAAGTTAGCTATCATCAAAAATTATCTTTCTTCTACAATGGACTAGGAGCGATATTGCTACTTGATGATCTTTTCAATTGAACCAGATTTAGCCAATAACGTTTTTTTATGAAGAATTTACTTTGCTGCTAAGAAGGCCCGGAAGATGTGTTCGATATTAGGACTTAATTTTGCCACAGTTTGCTTTTAAAAACCAAAATTAATTAAATGTGATTTCAGATTTTCTATGAAAGTAAATAAAAAATAACTATACTAATTTATTTGGTATTCGTCATTTTAAGAAATGAGGTATGATAGGGCATCCATTAAACTTTTGGACTCGGGCATCACAAGAGCTGTGGGCGGGCCTGCCTATATTGGGTAGTTTAGTTGGGTGTCTGGGGTGCTTTTTTTTGTGAAACTTAGCAGTTAGCAAAAAAAAAGTTTTTTGCTGATGTCTGAATATATTTAAAAAAGTCTCAGCATTCCTTCATACATCCATGATGTATGAAGGAATGCTTCCACATACATAATGCACAAACAACTAGTAAATGATCGGAACCCCAGCTTCGGCTGAAAAGGAGACTTTTTGCAAACCCGGCCCCGGTAAAATTTAAGATTTAGCAGAGATTGATAGCCAGGGCTAGAAAAAAAATTTAGAATACTTAATATATTATAATTTTATACTTGCATTGACTATTTATTATATACTGCGATATATTTATATATTTTTAAACTCTAATTTACTTCCAACAAGGTTGCAAGCAACCGGTTACTTTAATAAAGATAGGAAACGCTTAACTGAAAACTTGTAAAAGATGTATGTTGTAAAAAAGAAAAACATGAAGATGGGAAGGAGTTATAAGGTTTTTTTAAAATTCAAGGAAAAAACTAGATTATTAAAAGTTTTTATAACATGAAGGAAAAGATACAGTAAAAGAAAGGAACTTGTTGAATAAGAAGCCGAGCAAGAATGAGTTTTGGTTTATTGTAATAGAGATGATTGCTCGTTTGAGCATTGACCTTGATAGTATTTGTAGAAAAAAAAGAAATACAATCATGCAACAATGGGAGAGTGTGATTTAGCTTGGCAAAAAAAAGTAGGTCTATTTACATTTAAAATATGCTTTTAGCCTTTGTCTGACTTTTTGTCAAGACAAGAATATAAAGTTGTGTCGTCAGCAAATAGAGCCACTTTAAATGTAAAGTTTTCATAAGGATTATTATTGTAAATAAGAAACAATACAGAAGCTAAGATAAAACCTTGTGGTACCCTTAAAGTTACTCGAAATGAAGAAGAGTGTCGGTCTTTAAGATTAATTTTAATACTATAGTTAACTATAGTTAACTATAGTATTAAAATTAATCTTAAAGACCAACACTCTTCTTCATTTCGAGTAACTTTAAGGGTATATATATTAAGGGTCTGTATACTATTTTATGAAAAAATGATTATATAAATTTTTTGACTTTATAAATCATTTTTTCTAACTAGTTAGAAAGAAATTTCAAAAAAACTTTCAAAATAAAAAATAGAAACTTTTAACAACAATATTTCAACGGAATAATTGAATTAAAATAATGAAACAAGAGAGATAGAAGTTATCAATCAAACGATAGAAATTATCAATCAATCAAAAGAGAGATAGAAGTTATCAATCAAACCAAGAAGTTATCAATCCACAAAAATTGCCTTGTTTTCTATTATAAATAATGAAATATAACTAAATATTTATTACTAATTATTAAATATCAACAAAAGCACAACAGAAACAAACAAAATTAAAAAGTTAAAGAAATGTAGTAAAAAAAGTTAAAGAAATGTAGTGAAATAAGTTAAAGAAATGTAGTAAAAAAAAGTTAAAGAAATGTAGTGAAATGAGTTAAAGAAATGTAGTAAAAAAAAGTTAAAGAAATGTTGTGAAATAAGTTAAAGAAATGTAGTAAAAAAAGTTAAAGAAATGTAGTGAAATAAGTTAAAAAAATATAGTAAAAAAGTTAAAGAAATGTGGTACAGATCTAAAATAATTTTTAATTCAAATAATTAAATTATTTTAAAAATATTTATTTGAAATCTAATATAACGAAGTCTATGTTTAGTAAATGCCGTTTTGAATCAGCCTTAAAACTTTCCATTGTGCAGTTTAAGACGTATTCTAGTTTATCATTAAAAATGCTAAGAAACATTTTCCAAACAAAAGGTCCACGATATTGAATTTGGTAAGAACTTTTTTTAAGATGGGTTATGGGAATAACAAAGTTATTTTCTGAAATTAATTACAGAGTGAAGACTATTTGCAAGATAGTTGGAGAGGTCAAATTGTTTTTTAGAGTTTTTAAAAATTGGAACCACTAGCACATTTTAGTAGATTAGCAAAAACTGAAGAAAGTTTTGGAGAACACTTTTTTAAGACTACGATGAAAATCTTGTCTGAAGCACAAACTGTAGTGTTTAATTGAAAATTAACTTTAAAATTGGAAGCCAGAGTGGTGTTTAAAAATTGCTTGATGTGTTTAAATGGTATGATAAGAAGAATATGGCCTTCTATTTAGATTTTTTTTAGTCAATTTAGAAGAAAAGTTATTTCCAACTAACTCTAACCTATTCTAGGGATAAGTAAAAAGATCCAAACCATGATTAAAAGAAAAAATGTTAGACTTACTTTAGTTAATGACACTGTTGAAGACTACCAAAAGTCTCTTGAACCTCCTGAACATCTGAGATAAGATAGGAGATTTAGTAAACTGAAAATAATAGAGCTTAACATTGGACAGGATCTTCATTCCTTTTTTTGCTTCTTGCAATAATAAAAAGACATTTATTCTTTGCAAGATATTCTTGTAAAAAAGATGAAAAAAATGACTATGATTTAATAAAGCTACTGCTCAAGATGGTGAAAAATTCAAAAGTCAAACCTCACTCTACGTGGAGTAGAGTGAGGTTTGACTTATGAAGAGACGGAATAAAAGCTTCCAAGATGCGCATTTATGCATACATAATATGGATATAGGCATATATGTTTGCTATTTATTTAGATGCTGGCATAGAATTTCCTTTTATATTTATAAAAACTTTAGTATTTAGTTTTTGCCTAAAAAAATGAGATGATTAGATGCATGTTTGTTGTGACTCTAACAAGACAAGAAAAAAAAGGCATAATCTTAGACAGATTAAAAAAAAGATGTTGTATTCAACAACGTTTGATAGAGAAGATTAAACTTGATTTAGGTAATTTATTTAGGTATCAGCACGTAGAGAGCAATTGATTTAGGTATAAGCATCAGAAAATGGTAGTGGTAGAAATAAGAAAACTTGAAGAGAGTGCCTTACATATTGTATGAGTGAGCTTTAGTTTAGGAAAGAAAATGCTCTTGATTATTTATATTAGAGAAACAACATAAAAGAGGAAGGCTAAAGCCTAATGATGATAGTGATGATGATGATAAAGATCGCAATGATAATGATGATTATGATGATCATGTTAATCATAATGATGTTTATACATGCATATATTTACAAAATATAACATGAATTTGGCATAAAAAAATACTTTATGATATATAAATATTTATTCATTCCCGGTCACAAACCCGGTCCCGGCCCCGGTCCCGGCCCCGGCCCCGGCTATATTCTATCAAACTCGGCCCCGGTCAAATTTTAACCCCGGTCGCCTACTACAAACAACACGGAAATTTTAAACAACAATAAATTTATTATAAACAAAATATGACAAAAAAAGATTTTCGTGCAGAATTAAAGTTAAACTATTTTAGTACTCACAAAAAATATATATTGATACAAATTTCTAAAAAAATAACACAGCAAAACATGTTCATACCATACCACTATTTGAAATACTGAAAAAAGAGTGGCACAAAATTTGGGTGAAGAAAACGGTTTCGTTAACGGAACGGAATTACGCGTACCTAATGTTACACGAAAATACTTTGATTTAATTTCAAGAAGAAATGTTTTGAAGAAAAGTGTTATAAAGAGATATTAATAATATCAGAAAATGTTTTGAAGAAAAGTGTTATAAAGAGATATTAATAATACCAGAAAATGTTTTGAAGAAAAGTGTTATAAAGAGATATTAATAATACCATAATTAATTTTATACTTATAATAAAATAGTGTAGATTGCTAAATTTATAATTTATGATCCTATTTTAGTTTAGTAACTTCTAAAAGTGGACAACAAAATCCAAAACAATAAAATTTTGTACTAAATGATGACTTATTTTCAATTTGAATTGGGAAAGTGTTTTTTCTTTAACATTAACAATTTGTTAAAAAGTGTTTCCACAAAATAGGTCTCTGGTGAATAAAAAAAGAAATTAACTTTAGGTTTTATTTAGTGACAAAAATTTTTTCTGAAAATTTGGTCGAGTATTTTTTTATTTTTTTTTATTTTCGGGTTTACTTTTTTAAAATAAGGTTTAAATTATTGGATATAGCCCATACTTTATTCCATACGTGAGCTGTATATATATTTATATGCTTATTTTCTAAACGTTTAACGTTCTATGTTTACTCAGAAGTGGCTCATATTATTAAAGCACATAATACAATTAAATATTATGTTAAATAGCTTAATATTTAAAAATGATTTAGCCTTAGTTAGTTAGTTAGTTAGTTTGTTAATTATTTTGTTAAACGGTTCTGTGATACATCAACAGCCGGGCTAGCTCTAGCATATCTGCAACATGGAAGTATTATAGATTGAACGGAAGATAAAGCGCCGCTCTAATTATTTCAATAGCTGATCGAATTTTTACTTTGAAGTAATTCGCAGTGATAGTACTGACACTGATATTACTGACAACTTCATTTGCTTGTGCGTTTCATGGGTGAGCGACGTGGTTGTTGAAGAAGTTGAAACAAACAAGACAATTTTGATCGTTTTTATGTTATTTACCTCCCCAAAGTCGAGTTGGCTACTTCATTGTGATTACAACCTTTGTTCAACTCTTTAATTCCAAAACACAAACCTTGTCGAGCAAGATTGCGACGCGGAAAAACAAGTTAAGCACGGTATTACCAGAAACGTGATGGAAATGGAACTCGGAACTTCTCGTTAATAAATTAAACGCTTTACACTTCACCGCTGCTATATAAACCGCATAGTTGTCCATTTTACAACGAAAGCGCTCATTTATTCATAGACCTGTATTACAATTTTTTTATCACCTATTGTTAAAAGTTCACCATAATATATAACATGTTTCTTTAAGTTTTAAGACTTTAGCGACTACATCTTACGCTATTTAGTAACATTTTCTGAATTCTATATTAAATCTGACGTTTCTTAATCACAAATTACGTAATTCACGATTAAGTCTTATGATTTTTAATTACAACTTTCTTATTTTTAAAAACATTTTTTTTGTTCAAACTGTTCAAACTAAGCTGGTCGCACAAATGTTTTTTTATGTATACATTTTTGAGTTATTCTTATGCTAAATATATGTTCATAAACTATGTTATTTATTGAAATCTTGTAAGGTTTTACATGTAGTTTTATAAGTATTTATAAGTAAGTTTTTTTTTTTGCATTTAAACAACTTTTTTTTTATTTTAATAATCAAAAAAAAAAAAAAAGATTACATTATGATATTGCATTAATAACTCTGACATCATTTTAATTTCGTAACTTATCTGATTATATTGGTATCGTTTTCTTTGCAATAAATAATCAGTGTAAATTGCAATTGATACATTTAAATAATGTCAAGCAAAATGTTTTGCTTAGTTTACATTAAAAAAATTTCAAACATAAAGTTTCGTGCAGTTTACAATAGAAAAAATGGTGGTTCTAACAAATCAGCAATCGTATATATACCAATAAAGCGACACTTTAAAAAAAAAAAAGTTTTAACGTTAGCGAGTATATTTTTAACACTTTACTTTATTGACTTTGCTTTTAAAATTCGCAATAAAATTCAAAACCAAGAAGAAAAATATCACATTAAAAGCATAGTTTCCAATAGAGACGAAGATAATATATTGAGGAATTCTGCAAACGTTCACTATTGGGACTATATTTGTGGATATGCTGTTGAGGATTTAAGAAGTCATCCTTTGTTTCCTCATTCGCCGCTACGCCGAGATACCGTAGATTCATTACATCTTAAACATACTGAGTCACAATTTGGCGCTCGTATTTTTGGTTACATTTATCCACCTATTAATGGGTTTTATGTGTTTGCAATTAGTTCAGACGATTGCTCGGAATTCTGGTTAAGCAGCGATGCAGATCCTTTGAACTTAGAACTTCTGGCGGAGGTCGGCGGAATTACTGGTAACTTTTAAAGTACTTTTGAATATTAAATTGAATTATACTTACTCGCATGAAAAATTATAGAGGTAAATCTGAGCCGCTAACTTTTTAGTTGCTTTTTTGCGGTGCGATTAGGTTTTTATAAAGCACGATAATAGTCAGAAAAAATCACCACAATGTAAATGAATCAAATAACTTATAAATGTATATTTTGTGTGTTAATAATAATTGGTTTTTTATAGGAATTTGCTAACAATGATGTTGGAAAATTGTCCAAATTTTAGTTGTCATTGCAGAACACACGACTTTAATTGTCAAATTCATTCTAGTCGTTTCATTTAACAAAGACATAATAGAGTGAACAAATTTTGATATAAAATGTTGCAAATATATAATATACGTTTGTATATTGTATATAACTTATAAATACAGATAGATAGCAACCTAAAATAGTGTTTATATGTTTATATAATATTAAAAATGTTCTAAGCAAAACATTTACATATGAAGAATAGACTAAATTGAACCAGAAGTTTAAAAAAATTTACGTTTTTTTTTCAAAATAACCAAAAAAATTTTGGAACTAACTAAGCTCATAACATTTTTGTTAAAAATACATGTTCTTCTATAAACAAATTAATAAATTTATGTAACAAAAGAATTTCAAAATTATTTAGGTAAAGAATGGTCATACGAAAACCAGTTTGACAAATATCCAAGACAAGAGTCAATACAAGTTCAACTTAATGCTAGTAAAAAGTACTTTTTCGACGTTTTATGGAAACAAGAGAGAGCACGTGGTCACGTTCAGGTTTGCATGCTAAAGCTTTATTTATTCTTTTTTGTTTTACGATTAAGGGTATGAAGACCAAAGTGATTAAGGGTGTGCAGACATGGTACGCAAAAAATAATAACTGTAAGTATAAAAAATGCAAGATTTAAAAATTTCAATTGAATTAAAAATGCATGATTCAAAAATTTCAGGTACCAAGTTTAATGCAACTTTGAGTCTTTAATGAAAAAGAAAAACTTTACGTGCGCATTTTGTTTCAAACTTGTTGATTTTTGTAATTCAGTACTACAGTTTAAGAGTAACTCATACTAACCCCGTTTTATGTTTTATTATACTCTAAATTTTTTGCTTTTTTTTATTTTAATTATAAAATAAAAACTGTTTTTTGTAGGTTGTTTGGAAAAAACCTGGAGAAATTAACTTTAGTTTTATTGAGAAAAAATACTTTTCAAAGTTCTATGACGAAAGTTATATCGAAAATGGAATAATTTATCTAGATCATCTAAAAGACAAATTACCAGACCTTCCGAGTCACATAAAAATGTTTATAAAGGCGCACAATAAAAAACTTACTGAGCGCACAACACTTTACGAAAGAGATAGCGAAGAATTTTTATCACTTCCACATTTGAAATTTAATACTGTTAATGATGTATTAGTTACGTGCACGTACTTCCCAAGCTGGATAATTGAAGCCAATAGCGAAAAAGCTAAGAACCTAGGCGAATTTGAGGGGGTGCATTTATCTCACTACTACAATATTTCAACTCGAATATTTCCAGAAGATCAAACATGGAATCACTCATCCGAATGCATAGGTGATTCATTAAAATCGATGCATTGCCAAGGTAATGAGGTGGAAAATGAACTTTCTGCTCAATGGCCTGTAAATAAATATATGACAGAACTTTCAATAAAATTTCCTAAGTACTAATTAAGTTTTAATTTATTGTTTTAAGAATTTATTTATAATATTTATTATTGATTTATATATTATAACTGTTATATGGAATTGGAAAAATTCTAAAATAATTTATTTAGTCGCTTTAAGTTGCACACAATAGTAAATGTTGAAAGTGTACATGACGTATACGGCAATCGCTATTTGATTGAACTTGTTTTAGAAGACTCTGACCAGAACAAAATGAAAAGACTTTCGGTCTACGTTTTTCGTCCACTTAATTCAAACAATTTATGTTACCCAAAAGACTTTCAATGGAAACATGACGCAATGGTTCATTTTATTCTAACAGGTTTTATAATTAGATAACTATTAAAATCATTCTTGATTTTTAATAGTTCTACATATCGCAGTAAACCATGGTTTTACTTTTTTTTTTTTTTAGTTTAACTTCATTCTCCGTTTTTTTTTCTATTAGTTATTTTTTTATATTCAAAAATTATATATATATATATATATATATATATATATATATATATATATATATATATATATATATATATATATATATATATATATATATATATATATATATATATATATATATATATATATATATATATATATTCGCATTTACCTTAGTTAAAAATCAAGGTGCCTGGGTTCAGCAGTACATCGAATCTTTATCAAACATTTACAAAAAAACAAAGGATGATAGATTTAATTTGATTATAGTTGATTTTGAAAGTTTTGACGTAAATCTTACGGAATTATTGGCACGAAGTAAACTGCCTCATTGGCAGGTATATATAACAAGAAAAAACTTGTTTCTATATAATTATGATTAATACATTTTAAATGAAATATTCTTCTTTTTAAACTCATCTCTTCGAATGCTTTATACAAACCTCTTTGTTTTCTTCATACAGAACTTTTTTCTAATATAAAAGTTTTTAATAAAAACAATAACATTTTTTCGATATTTATTGATACAACTAAATTAACTGTAAATTTAATTGAATAATAAATTTAATTAGTTATTTAAATACTTTAGGTTATTAGGCAAAGTGGCAAATTTCATAAAACATCAGCTATTCAAAGTGCTGTTAATAATATAAAGGAAGCCGACAGTATTGCATTGCAAACAGATTTACATTTGGAATTTCCGATCAATTTCATTGATAATTCAAGAAAGGTAAAATATACTTTTAGAATTCTAGAGAACCAGTTTTCTGATAGATTTGTAATTAAATAATCACTCTAATTTTTTCTTTAATTAGATATTTACAGCAATTTTTTTCCTACGAACAACGCAGGAAAAAATGTAAAATGTTTCTATGTTAGCGACGTTTTAGCCCAATAAGTTGAAAATAATTATTATTTTAGTTTTTATTTATTTATTTAGATGTCACTTCATTGACAGTTTTTAACAGTATAGCGACGCCTAATCTGATTTTGTAAAACTGTTGTTAAATTTCTATTTATTTTATTTTATGATTAAACAAACAGATTATTAACCCCCTGAAATAAAATTGCATGTTTTCCATTAATTCAAAAAGGCTAATTTCAATACAGAAATCGAAATATTTATATTACATCAATTACAAAAAAATTTAGAAAAATATTTCAAAAATATTAATTGAGTAATATTTAATTATTAACCCAATGTAATGTTTACATTTAGAACACAAGAAAAAATAAAAAACAAACATAGTTTTAACTAGAAAATCATTAGCCATTTTGCACTGTTAGTTTACTAGATATTAATCTAGCAAATTAACAGTGCTTCAACCCTATTAATTTTCTTTTGTAGCTGCTTGAATTTTTGAATTAAGTTGATTAAAATTTGATGGATCCTTAACATTTAGTTTCCATGATCAAGATGCCTTATACTTTGCCTAATAACCTAAAATATTGAAATAACTAATTAAATTTATTATTCAATTAAATTTACAGTTAATTTAGTCTTGATAAAGTTTTTCCTCTAGTTTGTTATACCTTGTTTGAATCTAGGTTTGAAAAAAAATAATTATTTTAGTGCAAGAAATGCATTTTGACATTCAAATGACATTTATTTATTAAGCCATGTGAATGTATTAATTAGATTTATGATTTAAACAAAAATTTGTAATGATTGAAAAAAAAAAATTTTATGCCTGCAACTTTTGTTTCTTAATACTTTTGCGATTGTTGTAGTTGTGTCCCATTTTCCGTGTTTAAGGGGCCAATTAAAACACTAGCTTTAATTTTTGCGTCATCAAACCTATTTTGAATTTGTCCTTAAGATTTACAAGACAACCACTCAGAAAATAAAGAATGTAAAAAGGTGGACGGTAGAATGTAAAAAGGTGGAAGGTAGAATGTAAAAATGTGGAAGATAGAATGTAAAGAGTTGGAAGGTAGATCTTTAGTGAGTCAAGAGATTGATTTTGTGCATTGTGCATGCCTGTGACAAAATCATATATATATTTAACCTTGCTTTACAGATTCCCTAGAGGCTTAAGAAACCTATTCATTTATTTTAACCTGTCTACATTTCATATATAAGTGCTACTGCTTTGATATCACTGAACATGTTTCAGAAATGAATGCTGCAATTCTTTACTTTGAGTAACGCTCCTATTTGAATGTTGACTCATGTGCGTTTTTTATTCTAGCGAAATGCAAAATCAAATAAACTGCTTTATATTACTATTGCGAAGACAGCGAGAAGAGACAAACAGCGATAAGGTCATACAAGGACAATGAGATATTTTTCTAACTAATTTTGAAAATGAGTTTTGGTTGATGCAACTAGAAGCTTGTTTGATCAGCGACATTTACAATATTTGTAGAAAAGAGAATAAGATGCAACTAATATGACAAATAAAAAGTTGTTCAGGCTCGGCAGATAGAGCAAACCTAACTACTTTTAAGATGTGTTTTCGGACCTTGTCTAGAACAAAATTTACAGCTTTAGAAGAACCAGCTCAAGTATAGCAATAGGATTTCATAAAGAAACGAATAAGAAAATTTTAGAGGTAGAGAATGGAATTGGAAGTAAAAAAATTGCGATAAAAAGAATCAACCTTAGCAGATGCTAAATTTACAATGGATTGTATAAATGGTTTCGGTGAGAGGTAAATAGTAAATGGTAATCTAAGTAAAGAAATTGTAATTTAAAAAAAAAATGTAGAGGAATCATTAAGAGGATTGCCATTTATCAACAAAGGAAAACCGACAGTATTACAATATATGCTATTGCTTGCAATAAATAAGGTTTATAGGAACTTAAGTTCAAAAATCTTTGCAAACAAATTGTTACAGAAGATCAGATTCAAGATGTCTACTTTAAGCGTTCAAAAAGTGAAGACTTTGTTTTAAGATAGAAACATAAAACAAAACGCACTTAAAGTTACTCTTCTATGTTTCCGAGCACGTTAAAAATTATATTCACCCTTTGTTTCTCATCTAAGATGTACCAACATTTTTAAAGCAAAATAAGTCAAACTTATTTATTTGCATATTAAAGAACAAAGTAACCTTAGATATTGTGAACTCGCAGTTCCAAAATCAAACTGCTCCTCCCCCTTTTTCAGATGATGTTGAATCTGTGAAACCAAAATGAACTAAATCTATAAAACTTAATGCAAAAAGAAAAAAATGTAAAAGTTTATTTCTTAAAACAACGCTATAGAGTGTTGGAACTCAAGGGATCAAAGGAAAAATTTCAAGGATATTCTTGAAGTAAAAATTCAAAGATAAATTTATTTTTTTATATTATTTACTTATTCTGTTTGCTTGTAGTTTATATTTTTTATAACTTTTATAATAATAATAATAACAACAATAATAATAATAATAACAACAATAATAATAATAATATATATATATATATATATATATATATATATATATATATATATATATATATATATATATATATATATATATATATGTATATACGTATATATATAAATGTATATATATATTTATAAATATATATATATTTATAAATATATATATATATATATATATATATATATATATATATATATATATATATATATATATATATATATATATATATATATATATATATATATATATATGTATATATATATATATATATACATTTTTTTTTACATTTATTTTGCTGTTTAACAGTAAATAATCAAACAAATATATATACAAGAAAAAAAAACGAGTTAATACGAGAGAAAAAAATAAAGAGTTAAACAGACAGGGGCTCTAAGAAGATGAAGATACGTGATAATACGTCATCGTCATCTTTTGATCGTCATCATTTCAACCCCTATATACACTTTCCATAGAATTAAGATATTAAATGAAAAACCCTAACAGGTATAAAACTGCTGCGCTGATGAGTACATCAAATAAAGATAAAAAAATTAAAAATTAAAAAATAAATAAGGTTCCTTGATGATTTCTTTAAGCACGAAAGATTTTCAAATTTTAAAAATTTCTTTTTTTATTAGAAACTTTAATGAACTTAATGACTTTGCCATACATTTAAACCCTTTTTGATAACTACTCCATTTATTTTTGGTCCTTGATATGGTATGCTATATTCAATATATTTATTAAAGTTTAGAGGTAGTTTATATGTGTTACTTATATTTTCTCTTAGATAATAGTTTTCATTTATGTTTATTTCAAACTTGTTATTAAAATTTGCCGGAGAGATATTATTATTGAATTGATACATAAAAGTTAAATACTGATATTTATTTCAAAAACATCTATCATTTTCATATATTTCATTATAGGTTTCGCATGTTCACGCTTATTTTTTAGGGTAAATAATTCTGCACGCATGTTTTTGTAGACTTTAAATTTTAAGTTTTGATGGATGCGTACTTGCCCATGATATGTTTGCATAGCTGATGAAGCAATGAATTAGTCCAAAGTAAATTAGTTTAAGACTTTGTATTTTGATATATGAGCGAACTCGATACATTATACCAATTATATTAGTGATTTTAGATTGAATATATCTTATTTGAGGAAGCCAGGATAACTTCTCATCAACAAGAATTCATTAGAATCTAATACTGGTTTGTTTTTTGATTAAGTTATTATTTAATATACAACTTAAGAGAAAGGTTTTCTTCTTGTGTTTTTTTTATGGAATAATATATAATTTGTTTTTTCTGTGTTAAGTCAGAGTTTGTTGGCTCTAAACCAATCATTTACTTTATTTATTTCAATATTCATATCCGCATATAATTTGTTGATATCACTGTTAGTAAGAAATAGATTTGTAGCACTAGTAAACATGACTGAATTCAGTTTTAAAGATGCATTGCAAAATTCATTTATATAAATTAAAAACAGGAGTGGACCAAGGAAAGATGGGGGGGGGGGGAGGCTCCACATAAAATAATAACCCAGATACATACTACACACATATTGTTTTCTATTGGTAAGATAACTTTTAATCCAATTGTAAGTTTTATTAATTATATCATAGTGCTATAGTTTATCTAATAGAATGGAGAGGTCAATTGTATCAAAAGCTTTTAATAAGTCTGTAAAAACTTCTAAAGTAAGTTTTTTTTTAAAGCCATCAGTTATTTGATTAACTAATTCAATGATTATTGCTCTGTTAAAAGATTTTTTTGAAATCCAAACTGGTTTGGGTAAAATAATTTGTTTTTAGTGAAGTGATTATAGATTCTATTATAAATTACACGTTTGAAGAGTTTTTAAAATACAGAAAGTATTGATATAGGTCTATAGTTGGTTATGTTGGAATGTTCATTACATTTAAATATGGGAATTACTTTTGCTAATTTAAGGACATCAGGGAAAATCCCAGATGATATTAAGAGCTTAAGTATATGGATCAGAGGTCTGCTTAGACTAGTTTTATTAAAGATATTTAAATCACTAGTTATTTCATCAAATCCTGGTGTTTTCTTTTTTTTAAAGAGGAAAAGGCTTCTTCAAATTCTTTATAGTTGAATTCCTTATCGTACATGATAGCGTTATTTGTGGGTTTTAGGTAGTTTTTAAATGAATCAAATGTTGGACTTATTTTATTAGCAAGATTTGCACCAATATTTATAAAATATTTGTTAAATTCTTTAAATAATTGTTTTTTACAGAATATGTCTGTACTGTTAATATTAAATTCTTTTTTGTAAAGAAGTTGAATTTATTTTTCTCGTTCCATTATCTCATAATTGATGG